GGGGACAAGCCGGGGGGGGAGGAGCCGGGGGGGGCCTGGGTCTGTCCCCCCCCCCAGAGCCCCAGCCTGGACAGATTTCCTGAGCAGGGGGCACAGCTCCCTCCCTGCCCCGGACTGGGAAGCCCAAAGGGACCGTTCACTTTTAATGCCACCCCTTCGAGCCACAGACCCCATCCGTGGCGCGTGGCCGGCCCAAGCCAGGGAGGCCTTGGGCCCTTTCCTTTGGCTTCAGGGCAGGTCAGCCCCTGGCAGGATTAGTCCCCAAACTGCCTTCCAGCAGCAGGGGCTCCGCACCCTTGTTCCCTGTAAGCTGAGCACTTGGGCAGCCACCAAGGAGAGATCCAGGTGCTGCCCAGCTGATGAGCAGAGCCTGTGTTTCTATCAGTGGTGCCCCTCCGCACAGGCTTTGGCGCACAAAACAAAATGTATTCCACACACTGATTTAAAAAAACAAGCATGAACATTGCACAGCCCCAGGGTGACTTCACCATAACCAGCTGCAGGAGCCGTTTGGCTCAACACAGGGCTCGGCCTTGCCCCCGTGACGGTGCCCTCTTGGTGGAGGCAGCATGGGACTGGCCCCGCAATCTCCAGAGCTAAGAGGACAGAAGCGGTTACAGCTGCCAAGCCGGGGCTGCGCCAACGCCTCTCCTCGGCGGGTGCGCGTGGAAGGGGACCCATTGCACTCCTCTCCCGGCTCCTCCCCGCCACAGGCACAGAGGGGCATGTGACTCGCAGATTAGCAACCCTCCCGAGGCGCCGTAGCTCAGCGTTTCTCCAACGTGGCTTTTCTTGCTGGGCTGGGGAGCAGCAGCACCCCCTTGACATTGGTTGCTGGGGCCGCCAGCAGGGGATGGGTCCAGCCTTCGCCTGGAGACATGGGGGCACCACCAAGGGAGCCGACAGCTCCCGTGGCCCTTGGGACAAGGTGGGGGAGCCCTGGCTCCACTCCCCCAGAAGGGGCGGGGCCCCCAGTGAAAGGGGAGGGGCCAAAGCAGCCAGCCCTCAACACCGCCCGGAGCACAATGGACCCTCCTCCCAGCCCTCAGAGTCGCAGGGGGCTTGTGGTGCGGTGCTCCAGCGGCGAGGTAAAAGGGCCCGAGTG